CAACTGTGGCTAATTAGTAAGATTTGCTGCTTGCACATGGGGTGATCAGAGTTTCTAAAGCGCAGAAATGAATGGTCAAATCAAAATATTTTCCTTTATTTTTTCTTAAAAATGACTCTCTTGCAGACTGCGTGCAGTTCCAGCAAGCCCAAGTATGAAGCTAGCAAGGTGCGATTCCGTCCTCGGAGGCTGGGCAACTCCCCTCCCCTCTGATAATTTATCATTTTAATTTTGATTTGTAAATGTTTTATGAAATTAAATGCTAGGAGAAGCACATTTTGCCTCTAGACTAGAGGAAGTTGCCAGAAGAGGGAGAAAAGGGCATGAACGGTCTGTTGCGCCGCCTCGTGGCTGGGATTGAAACCGCGTCCTGTAGGGAAGCCGCCTAACAGACCGGAGGCGGGTGCCCACAGGAAGCGGCGCCCACCCGCACCCCCGGGGCGACGCGCACACACGCCGGAGGCCTGAGCCGGAGGCGGGCCCCTGCGTCCAGTCCTACCAACTTCGCTTTGGCAGCGATGAGTGTTGCTGCTGGGCTTTGGGGTACCCTGAGCAATGGCTATGACCAGGTGCGCTCCATTCCCCTGCCCGTCCAGCGCTGGAGGGCGCCCCACACCCACCCACGGCCGGAGGACTCAGATAGATAGGACAGCACCTCGGTGGGTGGGTGGTGGGGCAGTGACAGCAGCTCAGTGGGTGGGTGGTAGGGAAGTGACTGAATCAGGGGAGGTGCTCACGGCAGCCCTGCACATAGTCGGTCGTTGTCATTCCTGTTCTTACTGAGACGCAGCCATCCCGTGGTGTCCGCACAGGTAAGGGCGGGCTGCCCTGGAGGGTGGGTCCCGTCCTCCACGTCGGCTAACGGTGATCTCCGCTTTGCACCGAGGTGCACCGGGGTCCCGAGTCGCTCAGAACTCGGAAGCGTGGCATTATCTACTTTGCAAATTACTTCTCCCGTCGGCGCTGCTCCCACACAGCGTGGCCTCAGGCAATGGCCAGCTGGGGCAGATGCCTGCCTGGACCCGCCCACCAGGGCTCCATGGGCCTGGAGCTCCCGGAGGAGTCCCTGTTTGTCCCTGGGAGTGACTTAAATCCCGCGAATTATAAATTTCTGGTAACTCCCCTTTCAAAGAAGCAGGGATGAGCCTAGAAACCGAGAAGTCCTACAGGTACATTTTACCAACTCTACAGTCATGCTCGGAGCTTGCCGATATGAAAAGAACTTACTGATATAGCAACTACCATCTAACCTATAGCTTATGTTTTGAATAAAAATAGAATTTCTCCCAACTCCATTCAAGTCTCAGAATTCTTGTTCCCATCCGCACCATCAGTGTTTACACGGCCCCGGGTCCCCTGCTGAGAGCGGGTGGCAGCTGACAGTTTCATTCCTTACATCAGACCAGTCACTTGGTGCCTAGCGGGCTGGGCCCCAGCCCAGCGAGACCCGGAGATACAGGAGTGACTAACACAAATCTGCCCTCAGGAGCTCCCCGCCCCCATCTCTCCCCCTCTCTCCCCCTCTCTCCCCCTCTCTTCCCCTCTCTCTCCCTCTCTCTCCCTCTCTCCATGCTCTTCCTCGGGCACCCATTGCACCAGTGATCCTAGGGAAACAGTCCGGCTTTCTGTCCGCGGTTCCCTCGGCTAAAAAGCAGAAATTCGTGCACAGCCCATGGGCACAGACAATAGTGCGGTGAAGGCCTGGGCGGGGGCAGGAACAGGTGGAGGGCATGGGGGAGAAGGGGTATGGGGGTACGTTCTCTCTTCCCGCGACCAGCGCCGAAGGAGAGAACACAGGGGTACAAGAATCTTGATTAGAACGTGAGGAGGGCTAAGGAAGAATGAAAAACGAGACTGAGACAGAAATAGAGGGAAAAGCTGGGCCTGGGTGTGGCGTCTGCCCTCTGATGGATGAACAGAGCACCAGCACCAGCACCGCGTGTTTAATTTATACCGAATACCAGGAAGTTACGTCAGTTCTGGGCGGGCCTGACTGGTGGGCGGGAGGAGCAATCAGGGACCCGAGGGCGTGGCTCCACCTCAGGGCCCCTCCCACAGGGCGGGGCCAGTCAGAGGGAGGAGGGTCCTATTCATTCCTGGTGCTTGGCTGGATTTACAATAATAAAACCCACTCCCCAACACCTGGGCAGCGAAGAGAAGAGTCAATGCTGAGAACACATCCATCCTGGTTAGATGTGGAGCCAAGCTCGGCTCTGCGAGTCACCTTGGGTTCAGCTGACAATATTCTAGGAAGCATGCCCATGTGTCTTCCCTGGGGGGCCCTCTACAAAGGGGGACATCTGTAATGCTCTCAACAATAAAAACAAATTTACAAATAAAGTAAATAAAAAGCAGAGGTGAGGACCACGTTAACTAATTTGAGGCATCACAGCGAGTTCGGAAGAAGCAAGAAACTAGTGAATGCAACGCAAATGTTATGTGTTACTACAGCTTTACCGTTAACTCTTACGCGGCCCCTCTCCCTCTGTAGAAAAGGGGACACTGAGGCAACAGTGGCTGTGCCCTGACTTCCTGTCCTTGGAATGTCCCCGCGGACACCTGCACAGCAAACGGAGGGGCATCCGCGGAGGAAGCGAACCAGATGGGATGTTTTAGTCACACAGCAATGGAGCAACATGTCTTCCAAGAAAATCATCATTTCCTGGGAGGGGAAATGTAATTGTTTCCAAACCACTCATAACACATAACGACTTCACAACACAAACTCAGTTCCACCCTGCCTGAGCGCTGGTGAGAAGGGAAGCGGTCCGCCCCCGCCCCCATCCGGCCCACCGCGGCCAAAGGCCTGGCGTCTGCCACAGAGTCACTTAACCGATGAAATTTAAACTGTAAGTCTTTATTACAGTTCGGAAGAAGCAAGAAACTAGTGAATGCAATGCAAATGTTATGTGCAGTTAACAAAAATTCCTATTTAGAGTGGTTCCAATGTTTCCCCTGAGGACAGCTGCTGTGAGCGGAGAGCTGGCGGGTCTACTATGAGGAAGGCTCCCCTGCGGCAGGCCTGGCCCCTGGTGGCTAACGCTGCCCGCGGACCTTGCCAGCGCTTCCTGCCGGTGGCCCTTGAAGGAGAGAAGAAAAGACGACGCAATCCTCCGAAACGGGGGTTGGTGTCTGCAGACAATCCCTGGATGTATGTTTTACTTTATTCCTGTTAGGGTTGATAAAAATTAAGTTGGAGTCTCATCGGTGCTTCTCCCAGACCCATCCTCCTCCCTTCACCCCACCACGATGATTTTTAGGGCGCCCTTCCAATCCCCGTTTTGTCATTTTACTTTGTGTCCATGCCAACGTCAGTGACCGCCGTAGTGTTTTGCGTGGTTTTCGCAGTTGGAATCGTATGGCCGGTGAGCCGCAGCTTGCTTTTGTGCAGAGCACATTGTTGAGTTCAGTCATATCTATGTCTACAGAGAGAGGAGGGACCTGGCTTATTACTCTTAGCCACTCTAGGGTATTCAAACCTACAGATCGCGGCCCAGGCGGCAGCAAACGCCCCTCTCAAAAGTGTTACAGTGTTCACCCCGGGCGCCTTGTGACACGACTCGCTTCCACCACCAGTCACAGCGGCTCTGCTCCCTGACAGTATCCCCCCACCCCCACCCTGGGAATGCCTCTTCCATCTCCTCGCCATGCTGGTTGGGCGGATTGAGGCGGCTGCCTGGTGGCCCTGGTGGCCCTGGTGGCCCTGGCATTTTTCTATCCGGATCACCAGAAGCTACAGTCAGTTCATCTGAATGCTTCTCACCAATGGCTACTTGAAGTTACTTCGATCACAAATTTTTAACTTTCCTTATCTGTCAAGCAACCCCGAGGTCTGAACTTCATATGGATCTAGGCCAGCTGGTTGCCACTGACATTATTACAGAGAACCGTGACTGCGAAGGGAATCAGAACCGGCACAGACGGGCACAGCCCCTGCTTCCCCTGCTTCTCCTTCCCCTACTTCTCAGCTCCCTGCAAAAGAACACCCCCCCCCGGGTGGGCAGCACCCCCCAAGGGTGGGCAGGACCCCCACGGGTGGGCAGGGGTGGGCAGCACCCCCCATGGGTGGGCAGGACCCCCCAAGGGTGGGCAGGACCCCCACGGGTGGGCAGGACCCCTCACGGGTGGGCAGCACCCCCACGGTGGGCAGGACCCCCCACGGTGGGCAGGACCCCCCACGGGTGGGCAGCACCCCCACGGGGGGCAGGACCCGCCGCAGCAGGAAGCTGCTGTGCAGGCGGCTCCCGGAGGAGAGAGTAAAAGCTCTGGGAAAGCAAGAGATTCAAAGCACCACAGAAGGGGAGGCTGTGGAGGCACCTACAGGCTTTCATTTAGCCTTTCATTCGATAAGTTACAATTCTGTGGGCAGAGATCACATCCAGGCAGTTATTCCAGCAAATAACCTGTGTCTTACACCATCAAAGTCCATCTGAGCAGTCATCACCCCCAGGTCATTGACTTTGTGTCTATTATCCTACTTTGAGGTGATGATAATTGAGTTAGAAAAGGAAGACATCAGACTTGCAATAATATCTGACAATAGTATGAAATGTTACAAGAAAAAAAATTCAGCCAAGATTTTGATATATGAAGTCTTAATTGCTACTAATAATTATTATCACAATCATGAGTAGCTATCATCAATGAAGCATTAGGTTTTGCAGGAGTAAAATTTTGCCACTATGTGATAAGTATTATTTCCACCTCATTTAACAGATCAGGAAACTGAGGGCACGGGCGGTTAGGCAGCAATAGAGGCTGGAGACAGGCTCGAAGCCCAAATCTATCGACCAGCACCCAAACTCTTGCTGTGCCATAGCTTTAGGTTTGTTTCCTAAATTCTGGGTCAAGAAAAGCCCACATCCACTGGCAACTAATATTTTAGTGTCAACACAGAGTCATCTGTTGCTCGTCACTCCCATTGCATTTTCACGTCCTGGAATACTGGCCTTTGAGCTGCGGCGACATGAACTGCTTTTCTCTCTCGCTTTCCTCTGCAGGGCTGTGACACCCAGATGCTTCATGACCTGCTGCTCAGGTTGAGGTCCACCGTCTGCTTACCTGGTGACTTTGTCTGCAGAAAGGTGAGTGTGTTATTCGTCACACGCACGGCAGGTAACTAGGTACATTGAGGAGCTCAGACATAAGTCAGGAGCCGGGTGTGAATTTGCCCGGGCGGCCGTGGCCCAGCAATAATGATGGCAGACAGCTCTGTGACAACAGCAGTGCTCTCCAAGCTCAACGTGGGACATGACCAGGATGTCAGTACCTGCAGGACATAGATGGGTCGTCCGAAAAGTTGCCTTTTACGAACGTAAACCATCAAGCATCACACCCATTGATTCCAAATCCTTAAAGAGGAGGGAAAGCTGGAGATGAAGGTTGGGCCTGCCCTCTCCTGTCGTCCACAAGCTATCATTTACTCCCCTTTAGCTCCTCCAGTGAGTGATAATTAACTTAAAAATAAATATTTTTAAAATGTTACTGTGCTTTTCATGAAAAATGCTCCATGTTCATTATTTTTTAAAAGGAAAACATATAAAAGCACCAAGACAGAAATTCCACCACCAGAAACAACTGCTCTCCTGTGGGTCGGCCTGTCTTGTTATACTGCTTGAGGGGTAGTTTCAGAGACCTGGCGTCACACTGTACTTACGTTTGAAGCTTGTCCTGTCATGTAGCATATTACACGAACATTTTACATATTTTCATCTTCTACAGCCTCATGTTTAGAGCTGCATCCTATTTCATCTGTGACCATCATGATCAATTTCCAAATGTGTGCCGGTATTTCACTCTACAGTGAGCATTTCCCTACATCTCTGAAGACTAACTCGAGGGGAGGGAAGGAATGATGACCTTGGGTTTTATGTCTTGAGAGACTAAATCCATAGTCAAGACAATAACCAACATGAAAAGTGGAGGAAATGAGGAGTTCAGAGACATGAGAGCGACCCCCGACCCCGGAGCTCCCAGCGAGTGCGGCGAGGAGCACTGCGTCCCGAGTCACCTGTGAGCGCTGCGTGGGAGGAAGCTCAGGCGCTGAGGACACAGTCCCAGGGCAGGACTTCCTGGAGACCAGCTCAAGCTAAGTCCGGAAGGAGGAATTGGCACGAACCAGGAGGAAACGGCATTCCAGAGAGAGGAGAGTTTGTGCGCTGGGGCAGGGAGCAGGGCTGGCCTGCAGAGCAGAGCGTGCAGAAAAGGCAGTGGGTCACCAGCTCGAAAGCCTCAGTATTGTTTAGTCAGTGCAACTCATTAAGTGTTTGGAATACGATGAGCCAGGCACTGTGCTGGGTTCTGGGGACAAACAGCAGTGAAAAAATCAAATAAAAGGGTTGTTCTTGTCCTCCAGGGACTCAGTCCAATGCCAGGCTGTTCGCCCAGTGACAGCAGACTCACCAGCCCCAGCACTCGGCTGGTCTGGTGGGACCCACATATCAAGCTTTTAAAAGCTCCCAGATGAGTCTTGCCCAGTTGGTGCGGCTCGGTGATGGAGCATCCACTCAGGAACCAAGAGGTCCCCGGTTCGATCCCCAGCAGGGGGTGTGCAGGAGGCAGCCGATCCAGGAAGTTTCTCATTGATATTCCTATCTCTCTCCCTCCCCCTCTCTCTAAAAATCAATTAAAAAGAAGCATATTTTAAAAGCTCCCAGGCAATTCTAAAATACAGCCAAAGTCGAGAATCACTGCCTGATGGAAGAGACAAGCAATAAACAAATGAAATAAGCACTAAGTGAAATGACAAACACGTTCCTCCAACACCTGCCACTCTCCAAGGGGAATGAAGGCCAGGCGGTGGGCAATAGAGAGGGTGGCTTGGCAGGCGGTCGGCATGACCTCCAAAAATCTAACGAAGACGTGAAGACTTGGAGCTGAGGCAGGACGGAGCGTGGCATGTCCAAGTGGCCTGCTGGGCAAAGGGTGAAGGTAACGTCCCACCCAGTGCTGGGCACACCAGGACGGCGGGGGAGACCGTGGACATCAGTCTCATACAGGAGAGAGGAGGGAACTGGAGGTCAGTCTTTGGGAACCACGGGTCACAGAAGCTGACTTCATGGAGGCTCAAGTAAAGGTCAGGGAAGAGGACCAAGGCCACAGTGTTTATGGAGGTCAGGGGGGAACCGGAGAGGGCAGCGCGAAGGAGCTGTCAGAGGTGGTGATTGATGGAAACCGAGAACATACAATCCCACACAATCCAGTCCCCAAAAGTAGGCAGCTCGGTGATAGGAAACCACGTGCATTACAATGGGAATGCAAACAGCCCAGCTTAAGGACCCTTTCGGGGCAGTGGCGCCTGGAATGACCTGTCCACGGTGCCCTGGCAGCGGGACTGACGGCCGAGAGGAGGCGGGGGCTCTCCTGCCACTTTGGCTGATTTCTCGCTCATGTCACACCCGTCACTCATTGAGCACAGATGCGGGGAGGAAGGGACTAGGCAGGGGAGCAGAGACGAGAAGGCAGAGGCCACAGCGTGTTTCTCTGTTCGGCTTTGAAGAGGGGATTTGAGTCATAGTTGATAATGACAGATGAAAGCTTGTCACTTGACCAGATTTTAGAAACCTGAATTACACTTAGTTTTTGCTTATCATTTCCACAAACCACTGTAGCAAACGGAAAGGAAAAGAGACTCTGATCTTTGGAGGTTGCCTGAGTAACTGAAGAAACGCCAGGGCTCGGGGTTTGCTGACCTGCCTAATCCTCAGGGTCGAGGGGGCGAGGGGGGCCTCCCCGACCGTGTGGCAGCGGGGCCTGCTTCACAGCGCATCTGGGAGTTTTCCAGGCACGAGTGGCAGAATTATTTGAGTGTCGCAGTGCTCCCAGCAGCCCTGCAAACAGCTTCCCCTGGGACCTGAAACCGTGAGGGTTGCCACCCTCCCCACGCAGCTCTCGCCCTCTGCCTTCCTCCCGATCAGCACACAGCCAGCCTGGGGTGGGGTTTGATCTTGCTTTCCACAAGCTCCCAGACCTTGTGCTCTGAGGACTGTCTACTTCACTCGCAAGCTAATCAAACTCGCAGGAAAGGCTTAAATTAGCCTAGAAATATGCAAGCAACCGTGGAAGTTTTGGTTCGTTGATTATGCCAAATCTCCTTGGAAAATTATTGAAATGATCGTTAAAAAATAATTAAAAGTGCTGAACTATATTTAAGCACCCATTATGTACTTCTGCCTCCTGGCAGCTGTAATAACTGCCTTTGAAAAATCACTCCAGCAACTCGAGCCTCACTCCATGCGGAGAATAAGGAATCTGGCCCTGTTCTAATCATTGCTTTTCTGAGTGTCTCTTGGAAAACTAATTTTCAGGTACTTCTAAAAATAATGCATAGCTGCTTTGTTGGTTTCTAAGAGACTGGTCTTGGTGTTGGAGGCATTGCTGGGTGTGGGCTAGCTGTATGTGTTAGAGCCCAGTGACACGGCGCTGCTGCTGCTAAAGCCGTCAGCTGCCAGCCTTGTGCGGTTGCTCAACACACCAGTGTTCAAGCCTCTACCACCAGTTTTAAATAACAATAGTGATCTCTCTCCTATTTGGCCTCACTGGGATTACTGCAAGAATGAATGAGTTGCAGGTGGGTAGAGGGGGAATAAATGGCGATGGGCTGGGGCCTGAGTGGGGTGGCACAGTGCACAGATGATGTGCTGTGGAATTGTGCACTTGAACATGTATGATCTTGTTATTCAGTGTCACCCCGATAAATCGAATAAAAAGGGGGATAAAAGAAAGAAATGAGTTAGTATCTATGAAAGTGCTTTGTAATTATAAAGTAGGATGTTCTGATAGAAGGAATATAGGAATTAAAATAAGAAGCAACATAACTACCAGATATTATGATTTTTAAAAGTACTATGCAACTGCAAGATATTGTTATTAGCATTGATATCATGGAAATAACCCCAATAAGATCCATCTGTATTGGAAACTTGCTTTGATATGTACATGAGAATACAGGCATGCTTAACATCCTGCACAGGGAAAACCTAAGCACACTGCCTGCCTCGCTCAGTCAAGAGATGTGTTTTCTGGGCTCTTTCTGCTTCTAATGCCTGTCATGGGGCTTTGGTCAGTCAGCTAAGTCAATCTGCGCCTTTCCTTTCTGTGAAATGGAAATAATACTTACCCTCCCTTCCTCATAAAGCTAATGGACAGAGGAAATGAGGACTTCAACTGTACAGAGGTTACCTAAGAGGTAGAGTGTACCAATAATTATAACACAACAACAATTCGTGTCAGGACAACAGCCCCTGGTGTTGAAAGACTTCAGGACTTCCCAGAGAGCAGTTGAGTTGTATCTGCCTCGTTCATAAATGAGTGGCTGTCTCGCAAGCCTCTCTGCCCTGGCACACGGCGTACATCGCCACCATGGCAGAGCATAAACTCGAGTCCCCGTTGTTTCATCCTGAGTCAAGGTTAGTGCTTCTGACCTTTTGACAATATCGAGGGGCTCACTTCAAAAATACAACTAAAAGACAAAACGAACATCATCCAGAACCACAGGAAGGCTGGCTGAGTGGAAATTCTACAACTAGAAGGAACGAGAAAAGCACACTGAGACTCAGAGGAGGTGCGGAAGTAAAGTGCAGAGGTACG